AGCATGGGCACAGTCCTAGCCCTGGCCCAGAGGGCTTTGAGGCTCTGAGGCAGAGGTGGAATTTGGGCTGACTCTTAAAGGGTTGGGAAGATGTGTGTGTGTGTGTGTGTGTGTGTGTGTGTGTGTGTGTCCGTCCCTCTTCATTTCAAAAATAATATATGCTTACTTTGGAAAATTTTGGAACATTCAAGAAGAAAAATCCCTCCTAATTTTATGCCTCGTGATAGAGGGCTGAAGTACATAGGCAGAGGGGAGTGGTTCTTGGACAGTGTAAGTTAGAGGGTGGCAGTCCTCTCCTCAAGTCCTCCCGAAGCCTTCTGTCACTGAGTAAACAGCAGTCCTTGTGGTGGCCCTCCATTATCTGCTTCCTACCCCATCTCCTCTGACTCCCTCAACTCCGGGTTGGGTTCTTTGAGTACTTTCCTGCTTGCTCTTCCCTCTGCCTAAAACCCCCATGCTCCCCCATGTTCACATGGCTTGCTCTCTCACTTGCACCAGAATTGAAAAAATAGTCACTCCAATTTCTGATTTCAGTTGAGGAGCTCCTGTTGAGGAAACCTCTATGACTTGTCCTGAATCTGCTTGTTTGTGACTGTGTGTCTGTCCAGTGGAATGTCTGCACCATGGGGGTGGAGACCTGGCCCATAGTAGGTGCTTAGTCACTGAGTGACTGAATGCAGGTGCATGCGTGAGTGCAGTGTGTGTGTTTTGTGGCAATGGAGGGCGAAGGACAGTGGCCAGGAGCTGGAGGGGCAAGAATGGGTGTGGATGGTGTGGAGGGTGGGGACGATCTTGGCAGGAACGGAGACTGGAGACAGGGTCCAGTGTGTTCCAGTCACTACAGTCTTAACGCTTACTGGTGCATTGGAGGGGGAGGCAGTGATTTGGTCTTTGAGGCAGGTGAAGAAGCACCTGTGGAAATATAAAATCAGTGGACTTGGTCTAGGTCTAGAGCATGGAGGTTCTCAAAAGCCTGGCCTGAGGGTGGGAGCTGTGGTAGGTGATAGGAAACCACTTTAGGGTTTTGAGAAAAGTGAGTGACTTGATGAAAGTGGTGTTTGGGGAAGACTGGTCTCCAGGAGATTCCCTAGGATGACCGTGGGGGAGAGACTGAGGTGGGGAGGAGAGAGGCAACAAGGATGTGGGACAGACGACATCAGTGAGACTGGGTCGTGGCAGGATGTTCCCCAGCTTCTGTGTGGCTACCTCGACAGAGGCTTCTAGCACTCCCAACTTGGTAGAGCTCAAGTATTGTCTATGGCTTCCAATAAGTTTTGGAGGCAGGTGGGGTGTAAGTGGGAGAAAGGGGGAAGGAAGGGTCCTCCTTAGGTTTATCGGGTTGGTGGGTCTGGTGGTAAGCAGGTAGTCATATCCTGCACTGGGCCTGTGTTCACAGACTGTAACCCAGGATCAGAGCCTTTCTCTTCTTTCTGGCCTGCTGAAAACTGTTCCCCATCTGAGAGTAGCTGTCAGTGCTCTGGGTTTTCTTTTGAACCTACACACATACCAGGACAGTATCTGAAATCCATTTGTTTGATCACCTTCTTTCTTTCTTTCTTTTTTAAGATTTTGTTTATTTATTTGAGAGAGAGAGAGTGCAGGAGCAGAGGGAGAGGGAGAAGCAGAGTCCCTGCTGAGCAGGGAGCCCGATGCGGGGCTCAATCCCAGGATCCTGGGATCATGGCCTGAGCCGAAGGCAGACGCCCAACCGACTGAGCCACCCAGGCGCCCCTGATCACCTTCTTTCAACTTCATTTTCTGTCTCCATAGTTTTATCTGTTTCTCAAAACAAATTGTCTTTGACTCACAAACCCATTTAGATTCGGTTAATTGACTGGAAATACTTATTTCTAAATGGTTTCTGTTTCATTAGGCTTCTAGCCTGTTTTTAAAAAGGCTTTTGCCAAGATGAGATCAGTGGAGCAGTGATTTGGGTATAATCAGCTTCTTCCTTGTGATCTTTTGGTACAAGCCATGTGTTGAGATTGGTGTTTCTGATGTATTCATTCCTAGAATAAGTATTTGAGTGTTTGCTGTGTGCCAGGCACTATTTTAGGCACTGGGAATATAACAGGAAACAAAAATCTTAACCTTCATGGAACTCATATTCTAGTATGTAGGCTTATAGATAACAAGCAAAATATAAAGTATGGTGGAGAAAAACAAAGCAGGGATGGAGGATAGGGAGGTTTGGTGGGGAGGCAGATTTTCTATTTTAAATATGGAAGTTAGGGAAGTTACACTGATAAAAAGACATTTAAGCAGAGATCTGCAGGAGAGAGGGAGCCATGTAGATATCTGAGGGAAGAAGAGCCATCAGGGTGGAGAGAAGAGCATGAGACAAAGTCCTTGAAGCAAGAGAAAGCTTGAGGCGTTTTGGGAACAGCAAGGAGGTCAGTGTGGCTGGGGTCAGAGTGAGACGGGGGAAGTACAGGAGAGAAGGCCTGGGCTTGTAAGTTCCGGTGGGGACCTGAATGAGATGGGAAGCCCCCCGGTAGCTCTCTTCTGCCTCCTTCCCGGAAGGGTTGCCTTCAAGGCCGACCATGCTGAGGGGCTTCTGCAGCCACTTTTGGGTGAGAGTGGGCATGGGACTCTGAATCATCTGGGAGCCTCTCTTGGGCCAGCTGCTTGGGCCATCCAGGACTCCGGGGCCACCTGGAGCACAGGTGCCATTTCTGGGACTGGTTCAGTGCCAATACCATTATTCCATAACCACCAGGTAACTGTCACAGCTTCAGATGCCTGGGTTCACCCCACTGCTATATAGTCAGTTTCCAGGGAGGCCCAGAAGTCTGCATTGTTAACAAGCTTTTTGGGTGATTTTTGAGGCCAGTGGTCCCTGGACCACACTTTGGTCTATAGACCATGGTTCTCAGCCCCAGAAATATCTGTCACCTGTGGTGGTTTTAAAAAATGCCTGGCCCCACCCCTAAAGATTCTGATTTAATTGGTCCTAGGTGGGGTTAGGCATTAGTATTGTTCCCGAACTCTTCCTAATGTACATCCAGGGCTAGGATCACTCATCTAAGGATTAAATAAGCCTCGTACCCGGTACTTGATGGGGACATTTGAATGGGTAACTGTGAGTAAGAGACTTCATTCAGCCCCTCTGGGAAGGCTAAGGCGGGGCTGGTCACCTTGCCAGGAATAACAGGCATCTTTCACGTAACGTTTATGTGCTCTATCTCATTTGACTTCCTCACTTCTCTGGGCCTCCGTTTCCTTGCTCGTAGAGTCAGTGGCTTAAATTTAATGGTTTCCTAGAGTCTCTTTGGCTCTGACTGTTCTTAATCTTTCTGGTGTTGGAAGAACCTCTAAATCAGAACAGCGTTCTAGGACACTGTTTACTGATGTTGGTCTTAGAACACCCTAAGGTACGTCATAATTATGGCAAGGGCTGTAGCGAATGTCTCAATAGCAAATTGAAGGAAGATGTGTGCCATCTCCAGTAGCAGCCCGGGAAGAGGAGGGTGTTGGAAACCTGAAATGTGTACCATCAGACCTCCCCGTTCAGAGCTCCTAATGGAACCCCTACCTTGGTCCTCAGAGGCAGGTGGGAGCCTGGGCATTCGTCTTGGCTCTGCCACTTAACTGGGGTGAGTTCCTTGTGAAGTTGGAATCGTGTTTTATAAAATGTAAAGCTTTTATAAACCCAAGCGTGGTAGGGTGGCCGGGGAGAAGCAGGCAGCCTGGGTCAGCGAAGCCCGATGCTTAGGTTTGCCAGCCCCTCTCTGCAGCCAAGCTGTGTTATTGGGGACAAGAGGCAGTTTGAATAACCTGACGGAATCCAGTGGCTGCAGAAACTAAGGTTAACCTGGAATAAATAACCAGGCACATTCTGGAGCACCTCAGGACTAACTCACCTAGGACATCAGATGTAAAACACCCCTCTGCCTGGCACCTGGGTCTCTGATTTTTGTCTTCATTGGGACAGCACAGTGTCTGGTACTTAGTTTGTGTTTTGAAATGTGATGGTCCAGTAAGAAGAAGAGAAAGTTTAGGGGAAAACAGTTTTTCTTTCTTTTTTTTTTCTGTAGAATTGGGATGATGAGTTTCCTTCCCTTCCCTTTAAAATTTTTCCATTCATATTGTCTCTATCTGTATTTTGAATCCAAACTAAATGCTGGTCTCTCTAAGTTAAGACAGAAATGAAGTCAAATGAGGGAATGCAGAATTAGAGTAAGCGTGAGCAGAATTTGAAATGCGACTTTTCATTCCGTCATTTATGGGCACACAGACCTGATGGGCCATTAACCAGTTTCTCCGCACTGGCCAATTAAACCCGAATCTCGGGGCGCTGTGGCCAAGCAGGAGTAGTTTTCCAAAGTTCCTGAGGTGATGCTGGTGCTCAGCTACAGTGAAGATCACCTAGTTTTAAAAAATGGGTTCTGCCGGCTTTTCTGTGTCTTCTCTCATTATTATCACCTGCTCAGTGCTTGTCCCTTTCCTGTCTCCCCTCATGTGACTTTCCCCAGCTTACCCGGCCCTCTGCTTCCTTTGCTTCAGCAGGCCTCCTGAGCTGTGTGGAGGGGCAACCTTGTCTCTGTCCCCTATGCATGCTTCCAGCCAGCCTGACGCTTAGGGATTCAGCAGTCTGCTGGAAAACTAGGAGGTAAAGCCTGCTGGCTACTGAGGTTGGTGGCATAATGCTTAACACATGCGTTTGCTATGTTGAAGGCAGTGTTGTAAGAACTTGACAAATACTAAATCACTGAATCCCTACAACAGCCCCATTTTACACATGGAGAAATAGACGCAGAGGTGAAGAAAGATCCGTAGGGTCAAATGGCTAGTGAGTAGTCGAGCTGGGATTTGAACCACCGCACCACGATGGGGAGGGGGAGATATTCTGGGGCCTTGAATCTGGGGCTTTGATTTTGTGTTTGGAGATTTTCTCAGGGTCTGATGCGTACTTTTATTATTGTGATTTTTACGTTAACTTACTTAGACATTTACCTTCAGGCCTATTAAAAAATGTTTTATTTTTCTTCTTTCCTTAGGTGGTGTTTGGAAGCTAGACCATGTGCCTAGGTAGATGTCATTCCTTTCTCCATAGCTCTACACCCCCAGCAACGCTCACCACACCCTTGTTTTGAGAACCTCTCTGAGGTATGATGTCTCGGCTGACCTGAGCTGGCCTTGAAGAGACACAAGTGATGTCTTTATGTTCCTTGGTGCCTTTTTTTTTTTTAATTGTGGCAAAATATACATAACAAAATTGACTATTTTAAGCATTTTTAAGTGTACTGTTCAGTGGCATTAAGTACATGCACAGTTGTACAACCATCCCCACCATCCAGAATCTTTTCATCACCCCAAACTGAAACTCTGTACCCATCAAACACTAACTTCCTATCCTTTCTCCCCCTTAGGCCCTGGTAACCACTGTTATGCTTTCTTACTCTCTGCATTTGACCACCCCAGGTACCTGGATTCCTAGGTGGAATCATACAGTATTTGTCCTTTACACCTGGTGTATTACACTCAGCATAATGTCCTCAAGGCTCATCCATGCAGTAGCGTGTATTGGACTTTTGTCCTTTTTTAAGGCTGAATAATATTCCATTGTTTATTTGTATCACATTTTGTTTATCCATTCATCTGTTGATGGACACTTGGGTTGTTTTCATCTTTTGGGTATTATGAATAATGCCACTATGAACATGTGTATAAAAGGTACTCTTTGAGGCCCTGCTTTCAGTTCTTTTGGCTATATGCCCAGAAGTGGAATTGCTAGATCAGATGGTGATTATAGGTTTAATTTTCATTAGGAACTCCCATACTGTTTTCCATAGTGGCCTCACCATGTTATGTTCCTACCAACAGTGCACAGGATTCTGATTTCTCCACATCTTCACCAGCGCTTGTTATTTTCTGGGGTTTTGTTGTTGTTGTTGTTTATAATAGCTATCCTAATGGGAAAGGGGGGTGCCGGTTACAGAGTATCAGTTTTTGTCTCAGTTCTCAGCTGTTTAAACTTTGTTGCCTATCCCTAGTGTCCGTGGGTATCATCTCAGTCAGCTGACCAGTGCCGCCCAATCCCAACCCCCTCCCCTTTTATCCCCTCTTCTTTTTATCTTTAAAAATAACAGCTTTATTGAGATAAAATTCATATGCCACGCAATTCACCCATTTAAGCACAAAATTCAGTGGTTTTTAGTATATTCAGAGTCATATCCCTTCTTCTTAAGACTGAAGACTGCTCTGTGCCCTGCTCTTCCCTGTGGTTCTTGGAGGTAGCCCTCTCTCTCTGCTGGTGTCATACGGATCCCATCCTCAAGACGGATGACCTTATTGTGGGGACATTGGCCAGTAGGCACTTTCCACCGGTCCAGTGTTGAACTCAGCCCTGCAGGAGCCCAGGACGCACAGACAAGTGCTACAAAGCCCCATCACCACTCAAGGTCTCTGTGCTTATAAAAAGTTTTAAAAAGTGAAACACAAATTATGTTGCAAACTTGCCAACTGCTTTACTGGTAATAAACCTGCTTAGGAATCCGTGACTGTCCTTGAGCAAACTTAGTTCTGCACAGGTGAGCCTGTCAACTCATTCTCCCTTTCTAATGGTGGATTACCTTTTAATAAACACACCGGAGCTTATACAGAGACAGTGGAGACACGAGCAATTATGTAACATGTCAGGTGGTGGGAAGGGCTCTGAAGAGAAGGCAAGTAAAGGACGGAGATTGATGGTGAGGGTGGGTGGGGGATTGGCATGTTACATACACCGGTCATGGAAGGCTCCTGACAAAGGGGCATTTGAGTAAAGACCTGGTGGCAGCGATGTGTGAGCCCCTGGAGATCTGAGGGGAAGGACGTCCCAAGCAGAGGGAACAGTAGACTCAAAGGCTCTGAGCAGGGGCATGCTTGAGGACCAGGGTAGAGGCCTGGGCCCGCCCGGAGCCGACTGGGTGACAGAGAGAGGGGTGGGAGATGGAGGCCATGGAGGTCGCCCCACATGAAGGCTGCAGTTCACCCTGCAGGAGATGGGACCGTGTTCGAGGAGAGGAGGAGTGTGACCTGATGGGTGTTTTAAGAGTAGCACTCTGGCTGCCGTGTTGAGAATGAGCAGCAGAGGCAAGGGTGACAAGCTTTTGTGGGGACCCAGGAGAGAGATGACAATGGTTGGAGGTGGTGGGAAATGGTTACATCTGGAGATATTTCGAAGGAGCACTTGACAGGATTTGCTCTTAGGTTGGAATTAGGGTATGATGGCAAGATAGCACTCAAGGATGCCGAGTCTGGCCTAAGCAACTGGAAGGACAGAGTGGTCACCTGCTGCAGGGGGAAATTGAGAGTTAGACTCTGGACATAACTAAGTTTGAGATGCCTGTCCAAGTAGAAACCCAAATCTAAAATCGAGGGGATACCAGGTGGGGGGATGGGTTAGCCTGGTGATGGGTATTCAAGGGGGCACATTCTGCGTGGAGCACTGGGTGTTATGCACAAACAATGAATCATGGAACACTACATCCAAAACTAATGATGTAATGTATGGTGATTAACATAACAATAAAAAATTTTTTAAAAAAAGGACTGGGCCAGAAATACAGTTTTGGCATAAAAAGTATATCGAAAGCCAAAGACAAGGTGTAAAATCGAGGGGATACCAATTCAATAATTTAGGTAGTACCTGTAAGTGGGGCTTATGACATAGCAGAAGAGAGGATATTTTACTGAAATAACTACAGCAAAAGTAAAAATTATGCCCTGAGAGGAATAAGGCAATCAAAAGGGAGCAGAAAGGAGCACACCGAGGTCACCCTGGCCAGAGAGAGTCCCGCTCCCTTGCCTGTAGGAAGCCAGTGCCCTTGATGAGCCGTCCGTGGCACCCCCAGATGTGTGGCTGCCAGGTGTTTGCATTGGGTTATGTGGGGGGCACTCGAGAGCAGGGCTGGGCCTTCGCTTCGTGGCCTCAGTGCTAGGCATGTCTTGGCATCTGGTAAATGTTTGATTGATGAGCAAACCACCCACCTCCCTCCCTCCCTCCCTCCTTCCCTCCTTCCCTCCTTCCCTCCTTCCCTTTCTTCCTTCAATATTTTTTTTTAAAGAATATTTATTTATTTATTTATTTGACAGAGAGAGAGAGCACAAGCAAGGGAAGCAACAGGCAGAAGGAGAAGCAGGCTCCTCGCTGAGCAGGGAGCCTGATGTGGGGCTCAGTCCCAGGACCCTGGGATCATGACCTGAGCTGAAGGCAGATGCTTAACTAACTGAGCCACCCAGGCACCCAATGTTTTTTTCCTAAGATTTTATTTTTAAGTACTCCCTACACCCAACGTGGGCTCGAACTCACAACGCTGAGATCAAGAGTCACATGCTCCACTGACTGAGCCAGGTGTCCCCGCCCCTCTCCTTTCTGAGCCAAGTTCTCCATGTGTAAAATGAGGAGGTTGGACTAGGCCAGTGCACTGGAATCAACAGGGAAGCTTTAAAAAAATGCAGGGATCCATCCCAGACTGGTTGAATCTCAGTTCCCTAGTAGGAGCCTGGGGTTCTGTGTTCGAAAGTCACCCCCCATGTTGTTCTTTTGCAGTCAGTCCAGGAGCAGTCTGCAGACGTGTATTTGGAAGCCACTGGACCAGATCATTTCTGAGGTCCCCTTCAGCTCTAACATCCTGTGAGTCTTGTTAGAATGTTTGCAATATAATTCTCTTCTGGGAAGTGGGGTTTTTGCTTGGGGTGGAAGGGCCTGGAGGGGGAGAGGAGATGCTGCCTCTGGGGGCGAAGGGCAACTTGGGCAGGACAAACAGGGGCAGGTGTGCCAGCGGGGGTTTGGGGAGGCATTGAAGAATGGTCCTGGGAGGGACCCTTGGGGAGAGACCTGTGAGTAGTGACAGCTCACTTGCCCCTGGGAACCACGTGTGTTAGGTCTCAGAAATAGAGGTAAAGGACATGACCCCAACTTTGGAGAGGCTTATAGGCTGATGAGAAAACTCAGGATCCCGTCCCTCTGTAGGAATCGCTGCTGTAGCGGAAGTGGGGGAGGGGGGAGAAGGGCAGGGGACTGGTGTCTCGGCACTCAGAGAAGGCATGTGGAGAAGGGGGCCCTGGAGCAGAAGCTTGGGGCCGAGGAGAGTTCTCAGGCAGATCTGTGTTGGGAGCCAATGGGGTGGGGTATCAGGTATTCTGTAGTCAGGGGGAACAGCCCAGGCCCTGACACAGAGGAAGTCTATGAGAGTTGCCAGTGAGTGAAAGGCACCCGGGGAAGTGGGCAGAGACCAGAGGGGAACGGGCTCTCCACGCTGGCTGGAGACGTGGAGCTATCTCCCGAAGGGGACAGGCATCTTGAGGAGGACGTCTCTGTGACCAGATAGATGCTTTATAGCAACCACTGTGGCAGAGTGTGCGTTGGAGGGAGCTGAGACCAGATGGAGAAGACAAGTGGAAAGCTTTGCTGTTTTGCCTGGGTCCAGCGTCCACTGGGGCACCTGCTTTCTTGTACTGCTGAGCATCTCTTTGGGCTGCCCTTTGCTGTACTATTAGGGTACTGTTAGAGTACCAGGTGCCTCGTGAAATGAAGCACTGGCTGCTGACCGGCTCAGAACACCTGTGCCCTGGGGCCCCTGAGCCCCACAAGCAGGCCTTAGGTGTGTACTCAGGAGGGCAGTGCCAGGCATAGGGGAGAGAGTCCGCTTGTCCTCTTTAGGAGTTAAGTTTTATGTAGAAATCCGTAGTTATAGGTCAATTTGCCCAGCCATTGTAGCCTGGCCTGTTCAAGGACTCAGAGATCCTTCAAGTTTGTCTAATTTTACATGATAAACCGAAGCGTGCCCAAGACCTTCTCATGGGTACTTGTTGACAGCGTCAGGGCGAAAGCCCTTCTTGAGCTTCACTGGTTCTCACTTTTCTTGCCCTGCTGTTCCTGACCTGGGGCTTCATTCTGGGTCTTTCCCCATGTTGTTTGATTTCACAAGCTCCCTTCTCTATACCCATGGGCTCAATGTCTTTCTCTCATTGCTCAGCCAGAGTCCAGCTAAAGCTCCTGTGAGTAATGGCAGCAGCAGCTTACTCTCACGCCTGCTCGCTTGTTCCGTCTTTCCCCTTGCCTAGCTCCCATTCCTGGGACAGAAGGTCCCCCCTCTGGCCACCAGCTCAGGCATTTTCCTCCGCTCTCAACTCCTTCTGAGTAAGCATGTGTGGTCACTCGCTCACTCTGCCTGTGTGTCATACAGCTTGACTTCTTCTTTATTCTATTTTCACCTGGAATGCTCCTTCTAAAAGAGAAAGCTGAGGGTAACTTCCACTTACCCCTTTCTACACTCTTAACTGGTATAACAATAATTGAACACGTATTATTGAATGAACAGATTATATCAACACGTAAGCTGTATTCAGTCATGTGGGGGAGCAGGGTAAAGAGTTTACCCTCAGGTTGTAAAATATACCTCCATCCATCCTGCTAGTCCTTAGCCAACAAGCAGTGGCAAATTCAGGAAACTGAATTTTGTGGTTTCCCAGTCCAGTGTTCCTTAAATCTTGCCGCCTTTAACTTTCATTGTATAAATCTGTAACATGTTGTTTGCTTCCTTGTCTTACTAAACAATATACTGAATAGAGATCAGATTTTTCTTAATGTGTTCAGAGTGCCTCTGTCCTCCTGATGGCCTGTTTCTGAACTTTTATTAATCTGCTGTTACTGAACTTAATATTGTTAAGGGAAACAGATGACCAAGTTTAATGTTATCTGAAATTCAAAGCCTTTGATGCTGAGGGAAAGGAAGCTCATAGGTTTAGTGACAATTCCTTGTTCTTAGTTCCTCAGAGCCTTTTTTTTTTTTAAATTTCTAGATTCAAACAAGTGTGGATGTTACTACATTTATATATTTTACCTGTAACAACTTCAGTGTATTTTCTTTTTTTAAAGATTTATTTGAGAGAGAGAGCGAGAGAGAGAGAGAGAGCGCATGAGCAGGCAGGGGAGGGGGGCGGGGGCAGAGGGAGAAGCAGGCTCCCCGCGGAGCAGGGAGCCTGATGTGGGGCTCGATCCCAGGACCCCGGGATCATGACCTGAGCTGAAGGCAGACGCTTAACTGACTGAGCCGCCCAGGCGCCCGTTCAGTGTATTTTCTGACGGGTAAAGTTATCTCTTACTTGTCTACCTTTATTTCAAACTTCAGAATTCTTCCCTTTCCTCTCTAGTATTTTGAGGTGTGAGGTGTGATGAACAAATGTACATGTCAGTTATCCTCTCCCTCTCCCCTAAACCTTCATCTCTCCAGAATAAAAGAATTCTAATTTTTAAGTTCTTATTAGAAAGCTCTTCCGTCTACTTTATAACTTCAGTCTTATTTGTTAGGACCTCTTCCTATGCTGCTATGTCTTCCTTAAGGTGCAGGGAACCAAAACTGAACAACACATCCTGCTGTGGACACGGGGTGGTTTTGAGTAAGGGCAGGATCACAAGTTGTATTTCATTTCCAGTATTATTTCAGATAATGCCCAGTGTTTTCTGGGCCTTTTGTGATGAAACATGCAACGTTGGCTGATGGCCAAGCCTCTTTACTGAACAGCGTAGCTGAGAACCCATTATTCTAAAAGTGTCATTAGGGTTGCTTTTCCCTCAGTGTTCCTTCACATTGGCCTCCACTGATGCTCCTTTACCATAATTTCACCCATTCATGTAGCCTCCTGAGAACTCGTTGTCTTTTAGTTTTGCATTTTGATTTCTGCAGTAGTTTTAAGACCATTTGCAGTCTTGAAGGTTTCACTTTATTGCTTGATGGTGTGTTTATTGAGTACCTAATGGAGAATGCAGTGATGAATGAGACAGACAAGCCTCTTCCCTCATGAAGCTTACAGCCTAATATTCTGCTAGATCATTGGTTCTCAAGGCACCTCCTTTTTAAATTAGTTTTTTCGCAGGCCCTCCTTCTGTAGTGCTATGTATGTATGTATGTAATACATATATATGGATGTATTTATTATGTATTACATATGTATGTATTAACTGACTGAGACACCCAGGCACCCCAGTATTGGTGGTTTTTGTTTTGTTTTTTGAGAAGGTGGGGGAGGATCAGAGGGAGAGGGAGAGAGAGAATCCCAAGCAGGCTCCTTGCCCAGCTTGGAGCCCCATGCGGGGCTTGATCCCACAACCCTGAGGTCATTACGCTCGCTGAAATTAAGAACTGGATGCTCAACTGACTGAGCCACCCAGGTGTCCCAGTAGTGGTGTTTTTAATGGCTGGTCATCAGGATCACATATGTGGATACAGTTGGGTCCTCTTGTGGGAGGGCAGCTACCATTCTAGGTACTTTATGAAAGTATTAAGCTCAAGTCCAGAACTGGTCCGTGGGTTTAAAACTCTGCTGTTCATGGTTCCCCACAGATGATAATCACACTCTCTCTCTCACACACACACACACACACAACGTGCATTCACTGAAGTTGTAGGGAACTCAATTTTTTTTTAAATTGTTTTTTGGTGGAATTTTGACATTTAGAATCTGTGGAGATTCTGCCTACTAGTTCTACCATAATCCTCTTGTTCCTACCCCCTCGAAGAATTCTCACGGGCTAATCAGGCCTGATGAGATCCTTTCAGAACTAAGGTGCTCCCTCTACCTCATCTGTTGACATGTTTACTTAAGTGTTTGATAACATTTCTTGGGCAAGTAGTAGATCCTGTAGTAAACAATAGGGATCGATCTATCTGTCTATCTATCTGTCTGTCTGTTTTCAGTGTCCAGATCTCCCTGCAGAGAAGCTCATCAGGAGAGGGCACGGCGCCACCTGTCAGCCCTGGTGCCACTCCCCGCGCCTGGGGGGCAGCATAGGTGGTAGCAGGGGTCGCCCAGGCCACAGGGACGGGGGTGCTGCCTTGCCCAGCGACTAGGCGCCTCCAGATCACTTGCTGAGCTCACCATGCCTGGACCTCGTCTGCTCAGATGCTTCAGGGTGCGCTCTGCTGATGCTCTGCAGGGCGAGCCGGCTTTCTAGGCTGGTCTTCGTGGACACAGGGCAGAGGCCAGACCCAGGCTCTGGTCCCAGATGCTGTCCCCTGGCAAAATGGGCAGCGCGGTGTGAGGTGTGCGCTTCCCAGCCTGCAACAGGTTGCAGACACTGGCGTGCTGAAGCTTTTTATTTTGACTACACTTTTTATGCCAGTTAAGTTAGTTCACTGATTTTCTAGCTGGTGGTCCCCTGCTGACTCATGCCAGATGTGCTTTAAGAATCTCATATTAGTGATGTTTGGAGTCCTCTGTAAAAAGCTTCTCAAATGTTTTTGGCCTTCCTAATTTCTTTTTCTTCTTTTTCTGTATTAAAAATATAATTTAATAAAATTATATAAGCAGTACAACTTGAAATAAATAGTTTGAATAAATAGTTTGAAAATGCAGATAAACAAAAGAAAGAAAATAATCTCATCTGTTGAGATACTTTTAAGATTTTAGAGTGTTCCTCTAGCCCTTTTCGTAAACGCTGTATATAATAAAAATCTTTTGTTTTAAACAGAAATTGTACTGTATATATACTACAGTATCCTCCCCCTCCCCCCCCACTTTGTATCTGGAGCATTTCTCATAGCTGTAAATATTGTGCTACAGTGATGTCTAGTATTTAATTGTGTTAATATACTATAATTTATTGAACCAATTTTCTCTTGTTGGAACTTTGGTTGTGGCTCATTTTTTGTTATGAAATAATGTTATAAATAATTCTGCAGTGATTATCTTTGTCACATGCATCTGTATTTCCTTAGGATAAGTTTCTGGAAGTGGAGTTATTGGGCCTTATGTATGCATTGCTAAATTGCTCTTAAGACAGGGTTCATCAATTTATACTACCTTCAAAATGCTTACTTTGCAGGGGCGCCTGGGTGGCGCATCAGTTAGGCGTCTGACTCTTGATCTCAGCTCAGGTCTTGATCTGAGGGTTGTGAGTTTGAGCCCTGCCTTGGGCTCCATGCTGGGCATGGAGCCTACTTAAAAAAAAGAAAGAAAGAAATGGAATGCTTACTTTGCCACATCTCTGCCGATACCAGGAATTATTATTTTTAAAAGATTTTATTTATTTATTTGAGAGAGAGCACGAGAGAGAGAGAGAGAGAGAGAGAGAGAGAGAGAGCAAGTGAGCACGGGAGCACAAGCAGGGGGAGTGGCAGACAGAGGGAGGAGAAGACTCCCCGCTGAGCAGGGAGCCCCACGTGGGACTTCATCCCAGGTGCCAAAGGCAGACGCTTAACTGACTGAGCCACCCAGGTGCCCAGGTGCCCCCAGGAATTATTTTTCGAAAACCTTGGTCAATTCGGTAAGCCCCAAATGGCTTCTCATTATTTTAATTTGTATTTCTCTAATTTCTTGTGAGGTAGCAACTTTTTTTTAACGTATTCACTGTCCACTTGTGTTTCTTTTTTTAATTGTGTGCTGGCCACTTTTGCCCATTTTCCTAGTGGGCTGCTTATCTTTTACTTCCTGCTTCGTAAGGGCCTTCTCTAGAGTGAAGACATTAATGGGAGGAACTGTCACGTTGCAGATACCTCTGTTGGTTTGTTGTTTACGTTTTAACTCTGTGCTGGCAGGTTTTTGATGACTAGGACTTTTTATTGGTGGTCTTTTTCTGTATAGTTTCTTCCTTTGCTTTTATAACGGTACATTTTGGTTAATTTCTCTTTTCTACTTATAAGCCATGTGATACAAGGTTTAGAGCAAGGTTTAAAGAAATACAAGCAAGTACACCACGAGTCCCTTATTCACAGCTATTGATTGCTGCTGTATGAGTAAATAGAAAATAGGACTTGCTCTTTGGCTTTTAAAAGTGTCAGCTTTGGTATTTAAGATCCAAAGGTTAAGAGAGGTTTTTCCTGCTGCTGATGTTGAGCTGCCACAGCATTCCCCTGCTCTGATTTTCCTAGCAAAACATATCTTGCCTTCTCGCGAACCATTCTCAGCCAAGCCCCGAGATTTCCCTGTGTGGAGAGCGTTACTTTCTTCTGCTGTCCTTCGTCTCCGCGGTGAGCTCCCGGGACTTCACGTTAGGCGGTAGGAGGTGCTCGCTAACCCTGGCGCTCCCCGCCACCTACTGCCTCTCCTCCCTCACCAGCTTTTCTCAGCCCCTTGAAGAGACCAATCCATTCTGCCCTTCTCCCTCTATCATCCCCCCCCTCCAGAATGTAAAAAAAGGGAGGAAGAGGGAAAGAAAGAAACTTACACAGCAGGTATCACAGAGGCATTTCCTTCTAGTTAGGATCAGCCTGCCTAGTGGTTTATTTGGCTCTCCCGGATAGCCAGCATGTTCCTCTTGCTTATGGGCCCCTGTTTCTAGGAGGCAGTCATTTGTGTCCAGGAACTTGACAACTTGACATCTCATTTTAAAGAGGTATTCTGCCAATTGTATTTAGTTTAGATAATTGGTATTTCACTTTGCAATTCTCTACCATAATTAGCTATATTCCCAGTGGTGGGTATTTTTCATTTTCTGTGAGACCTCTTAAGCAGGCAGATGTGTTTTGTTGGGGGTTGGAAGGGGGGCAAGAAACCAAACCTGCAAGCCTGTTGATCCCAGGGGTTGGTAACGGATATACCTCTGCTATACCACCTGCTCCCCTGTGGTTCTTTTTTTAAATTTTTTAGACGATTTATTTATTTGAGAGAGAGAGAACCACGAGTGGGGAGAGGGGCAGAGGGAGAGGGAGAGAGAATTTTCAAGCAGACTCCCTGCTGAGTGCAGAGCCTGACGCAGGGCTGGATCCCAGGACCCTGAGATCGTGACTGGAGCCTAAATCAAGTCAAATGCTCAACTGATTAAGCCATCCAGGTGCCTCTCCCCTGTGGTTCTAAGTGGTCCCCACCCCCTTTATTTATCCTTTTTAAACTTATAAAAGCAATCAATCAGCACAAAAAGAGCCTTGGAAAAAATAACCCACTGGTAATCCCACCACCCTGCATAATTATCTTTCTTTTAATCTTGGCTCAAATGCATACTTAGTTTTACATTGTTCTAGTCTGACAATGTTTTTTTGTATTAGTTTTTTTTTAACTAAACACTGTAAGTGATTTTTTTTTTTTTAAGATTTTTAGTTTTGGGGGCGCCTGGATGGCTCAGTTGGTTAAGCATCTGTTTTCGGCTCAGGTCATGATCTCGGGGTCCTGGGATCGAGTCCTGCTTCGGGCTCCCTGCTCAGCTGGGAGTCTGCTTCTTCCTCTGTCTCTCCCTTCCTCCTGCTTGTGCTATTGCTCTCTCTCTCAAATAAGTAAATAAAATCTTTTTAAAAAAGGAAATTATTAAAAAAAGATTTTTTATTTTTAAGTAAACTCTACCCCAGCATGGGGCTGGAACTCAACAACCCCAAGAGCAAGAGTTGCATGCTCTGCTGACAGCCGGCCAGGTGCCTTAGCACTATAAGTAATTTTCCATATTGCTGTGTAAATGTCGTAGTTAGGATTTTTAATGGCCGCCTGATAGTCTATCAATTATTTAATTATTCTCTGTTCTTGGACATTTAGATTGTGTGTTTATCTGTCTCTTTTGTGTTGTTTTGTTTTTTTTTTTTAAAGATTTTATTTATTTATTTGACAGAGAGAGACACAGCGAGAGAGGGAACACGAGCAGGGGGAGCGGGAGAGGGAGAAGCAGGCTTCCCGCGGAGCAGGGATCCTGATGTGGGGCTCGATCCCAGGACCCTGGGATCATGACCTGAGCCGAAGGCAGACACTTAACGACTGAGCCACCCAGGCGCCCCTCTTTTGTGTTGTTTTAGTAATGCTGTATACTTTTGGGTATAGCTTTTGGGGGTTTTTGTTCTTAGGATAAGAACATTGGCCTTGGGGTTCTTGGCCCTGAGGATTTGCCACATGTCTGGTTCTGTGGGGCTGCTGTACTGCTTTCTGAAAGAGTAGTGTCATTCTGCACCCAGACAGGTTTTCAGTATAAGTGTGGGGCAACAAATATGCAAGCAAGTGAGGCTCTGGGATGCTGAAGCAGATGGAGGATTTGTGGCTGAACAAGGGAGGTGGTGGGGTTTTTCTTCCTCTTTCCAGCAGGTTGGAGCCAGCTAGCTGAGGGTTAACAGTGATTTCCTGATGGGCGGTCTCTTTCCTAGGACCTTGGCTTTCCTCTGTCACCGTAGTGCTGTTGTTCTCCTTCTCCAGAGCATGAAGGAAACAGCTGGGGTTTCTTTTCTTTGTCTATTAAGTTAAAATAAAATTTGGGGTTTCCCTGACGCTGTTCCCTGGCCCATTTGATAACCATGTGGGGCTTTGAGAGTCACTCTGCCCCTCACATTTAGTGAACCATTCGCCAGCCAGGAACAGTTTTAGGTGAAAATGAAGGAATCAAGCAGACACTGACGAGAGGAAAAAAAGGCCTAGGAGATGATATAATTTGCTGGAGTTTATTTATGAGACAGTTAGCATAAATCCTGGTAATAGCAAATCATCTTGGATTTGGTTGAATTCATCCAGCAAAAAACCAAAATTACAAAGTTAATGATTAAATACTAGGAGTTAAATTAGCAGAATTTATAGCCATGTCTCATCTATGAATCAGAAGTTTTCTGAAGAAAAGAGGTGCTGAGCCATGCTTGTTTTGTTTTTATTTTTTTATTTTTTGAAGGTCTCAGTGATTGGTTTTTTTTTTGCTAGTACATGTGATTAGGGAGTGTTGATAGTCTCTGAGAAATTGAGGGAGTGTGATATGAGTGCTCTCTCTTTTTGGCCATGCAACCAGCCAGGAATTTCCAGGTACTGATGTTTAGGACTGGCCAGGCGGGCTTGTCACTGCATATAAACTTCTCTTTCCACCCCTCCCCCAGTGTCCCCAGCATTTTGGAAACCTGTTGGGGTAAAAGTCAGGTCTGTGGCCTCCCAGAGTCTGGGGGGTTCATGTATGTGCGTCCTGGCTGTGTGTGTGTGTTAGTGTGCTGAAGATGGTGCTGGACGGAGTCCGGTGGGGTCCTGGGGATCACTGATTCTGTTCTGTTTCTGTTGTAGCCCTTGCCAGCATCCAGCCATGGGGGATATGAAAACTCCAGATTTTGATGACCTCCTGGCTGCCTTTGACATCCCAGACCCCACTAGCCTCGATGCCAAGGAGGCCATCCAGACCCCCAGTGAGGAGAATGAGAGCCCCCTCAAACCTCCAGGCGTGTGCACGGATGAGAGTGTGTCCCTGTCTCACTCAGGGTCATCCTCAGATGTCCCGGCCGTGAGTGTCATTGTCAAGAACACAAGCCGCCAGGAGTCCTTTGAAGCGGAGAAAGACCCCATCGCTCCCAGCCTCCTACACAATGGATTTCGGGGCTCGGACCTGCCTCCAGATCCCCACAACCTGGGCCACAACTGTGGGAAGTTTGATTCCACTTTCATGAACGGAGACAGTGCCAGGAGTTTCCCTGGCAAGCTAGAACCTTCCAAGTCAGAGCCGTTACCGACCTTTAACCAGTTCAGTCCAATCTCTAGCCCAGAACCCGAGGATGCCATCAAAGATAATGGGTTTGGAATGAAGCCCAAGCACTCTGACAGTTATTTTCCACCCCCTCCTGGGTGTGGGCCTGTGGGGGGCCCAGTCCTGGAGGCTCTGGCTAAGTTTCCAGTCCCAGAGCTCCATATGTTTGATCACTTCTGTAAGAAGGAGCCCAAGCCAGAACCTCTGCCCTTGGGGAGTCAACAGGAACACGAGCGAGGTGGGCAGAAGGTGGGGGAGCCTCACAAGGAGCTGGATGCCAGTCGATTCTTTGGGGAAGCTTTGGAATTCAACAGCCACCCCAGCAACAGTATTGGAGAGCCGAAGGGGCTTGCCCTGGAACTTGGCACTTGCTCGTCAGTCCCCCCTAGGCAGCGTCTGAAGCCAGCTCATTCCAAGCTTTCCTCTTGTGTTGCAGCCTTGGTGGCCCTGCAGGCCAAAAGAGTGGCCAGTGTCACCAAGGAGGATCAACCTGGCCACGCAAAGGACCCCTCAGGGCCCACTAAAGAGGGCTCCAAAGGTAGCCCCAAAATGCCCAAGTCACCAAAGAGTCCCCGGAGCCCTCTGGAGGCCACTAGAAAGAATATCAAGCCATCGGACAGCCCTCGGAGCATCTGCAGTGACAGCAGTGGCAAAGGCTCCCCTTCAGTGGCTGCCAGCTCCCCACCAGCAATCCCCAAAGTCAGAATCAAAACCATTAAGACGTCATCGGGGGAAATCAAACGGACCGTCACGAGGATCCTGCCAGACCCTGACGATCCCAGTAAGTCCCCCGTTGGATCACCTCTGGGGAGTGCCATTGCCGAGGCCCCCAGCGAGGCGCCGGAGGACGAGGTCACCGCCTTGCCGACTGTGGCGCCCTCTCCTGAGGTGGGCACAAATTCCGGGAGCCCCCAGGGTGACAAGAAAGGGGATGAGAGCACCCCGAAGGCCGGTGAATCGGCGTCTCCGTGCGGCAGCTCCGGGCCCCGGGTCCCAAAGGGGGCTGCCCCCGGTGCGCAGAGCGGCAAGAAGCAACAGCAGAGCACTGCGCTGCAGGCGTCCGCCCTGGCCCCCGCCACCCTCCTGCCCAAGGCCGTGCACCTGGCCAACCTGAACCTCGTGCCCCACAGCGTCGCCGCTTCCGTGACGGCCAAGTCCTCGGCGCAGCGGCGGAGCCAGCCGCAGCTCCCACAGATGTCGGTTCCCCTGGTCCACCAGGTGAGGAAGGCCGCCCCGCTGGTGGTGGAGGTCTTCAACAAGGTCCTCCACAGCTCCAACCCCGTGCCCCTCTACGCGCCAAATCTCAGCCCCCCCGCCGACAGCAGGATCCACGTGCCGGCCAGTGGCTACTGCTGCCTGGAGTGCGGGGACGCGTTCGCCTTAGAGAAGAGCCTGAGCCAGCACTACGGCCGGCGGAGCGTCCACATCGAGGTGCTGTGCACGCTGTGCTCGCAGACGCTGCTCTTCTTCAACAAGTGCAGCCTGCTCCGGCACGCCCGCGACCACAAGAGCAAGGGGCTGGTCATGCAGTGCTCGCAGCTGCTCGTGAAGCCCATCTCCGTGGACCAGATGTTTGTGTCGGCCCCCGCCAGCTCCCCGGCCCCAGCGGCCCCAGCGCCCCCCGCCTCCCCCAAGCCCGGCCTCACTGCGGCCACTGCCAGCCCAACCCTCCCGGCCTTGCCGCTCTACCCGGACCCCGTGAGGCTCATCCGGCACGGAATCAAGTGTCTCGAATGTCACAGGCAGATACGCGACTACATGGCTATGGCTGCCCATTTCCAGAGGACGGCGGAGGAAACCGAGGGGCTGGTAAGCAGACCCTTCCTGCGATGGCTGTCAGCCCCCGGGTTTGCGCCAGCTCCATGATTGGGCATGGAGAAAAGCTCCCTGATGTGGGGGCGTCTAATGAGTCTTAGAAGAAGACGCCTGGCTTGATGGTTAGTGACCCTCCGGAGTGCAGAGTGCTTGGTGTTTACTGGGGAAAGGGTCCTGCCCCCCCCCCCACGGGCGCCTCTGAAGATTTACCCGCCGCCGCCGTGCCTGTGGCCACGCCCCTCGTTCCGCTCAGCTCGCTCCCGCTCCCGGGCGGGCGGGGCCCCCTGTCCGGCCTGGGCCGGTGTCTGCTGGGCCGCCTCCTGGTCTCTGGGAGGCGCCAGCACGGGCTTCGCACAGGCCCAGAGAACCGGGGAGCGGGGGCTGGGAGCCGAGGTAGGTGTGTCACCGCTCCGCACTTCAGCGTGTGCTCTCAGAACCGGGTGTGTACGGCGTTGTTCCCCGCGGGGAGACTGCGGTAGGGCCAAGGCAGGGCTGAGGAAGGAGAGCAGACAGGCCTGCAGGCCGTGGCGGAGGCTTTGGGGGCCTCTTTCGGCTGCCTTCCCGCCATTCTATGAAGGCGGCCACGCTTATCTGCTTGTTCCGATTCTTGGTTACGCTGATGAGATTGGTTTTTGTTTTTTTTTGAAGACAGTCTGTGCTGAACAGACCCTTTGGCACCCTCCGTGTCGGTGGCTGTCTGTACTCGCCAGGTCCTGTGAAAGTAGGCCTCCAGACATGCCTCCAGAAGGTTCTCTCCTTCCTCCTCCAGGTGACTCTCTTCACATCCCCGACAAGCGCGCCCCCCTCCCTGAACCTCCCTAAAGCCAGGGCTGCAGAGGCCTGGGAGGAAAGCAGAGCAGCTTTTTACTTGAGTGCAGCAGGGGCCTGCATCCCTGTCTGTGGCCGAGGAGCTTTGCGCCAGTGGCCCGAGTGCGCGCGCGCGGTGTGGAGGGAGGCTCCCTTGTCGGGCCCAGGGGTGCGGGGGCGGGGGGGGGGGAAGTCGCACTGCTGCCCCAGGGGCTCCCGTGGCTCAGCCCAGGCAGGGCTCACCACTCACTGCTACAGGGTGAGACCGACTAAGTTTGGGGCTGAAAGGCTTGTAGACGTGGTTGCACAGAGTGCCTTGGAGGGACTACCTCACCTCGTGACTCCTCCTCGGGGCAGAGGGCAGGTGCCGAGTGGCTGGGACATTTGAGTTGGACCTGCAAGAAAAGTTGGGGGAGGGGGGAGGGTGTTCCAGGTATAGGAACAGAGGTGCGGGGAAAGTGCAGAGTGCATTTGAGGAGGGGAGTTGTGGAGCCTGGGGAGTGTTGGGGTGGAGACACGAGGTGGAGTTTGGTGGCTTGTGGTCCTTCTGTGAGGTGCTGTAGGCTCACTGTCCCCTCCCATCTTCGCCTTCTCTCCTCAGTTTATATTGTTTCTTATGAGTCAGATGGAGTGTGGCGACCCTGGCCCTTTGCTCTGGGGCTTCAGTCTTCTTGCTGTCCCCCACATAGCTGTCCCCGCATAGCTGACCACTTCTTCTAGGTCATGTGATCAGAACCGTTGTCAGCAGAGGTCTCATGCTTGGTGTTTTTCCACTGTTCCTCACCTGCCTTCTAAAATCTGAGCCCTCAGAGGTTGGGGTGTAGGATCCCCAGCTGACACCCCCCCCATCCTGCATCTTCTCCTCTAGTGGGAGCTGGGCCCCCGGACAGGAAAGGGAGAGGGGACCTAGGAGGGCTGTCAGGCTTCTCAGCCCAGTGCAGATCCCGCACAAAATCTCCTGCCAACAAATGTGATCTCAGAGTCTCGGGGAAAGGACAAGGTTTGAGGTCTGGAGTCAAAACCTAACCTTGCTGGCTGGTGGACTTGCGTTTCCTGAGACAATACCCAGGCTTCAGGCCATATGCAGGGAAGGGTGTAGACGGATGGAGCCGGGCGGGGCTTCACTCTAGTTGGTGTAGGGGCTGCAGGGGAGCACGCGCGGAGCCCGTGCAGGCCTTCCGACTTCTCCCCTGTGCTGGATACCCCTACCCCTGCAGGGGCTGGAGGGGGGCCCTTCCTGCATCCCCAGCTACCTTGTTGGGATGTTGTCAGCACAGACAGTTTCTTCTTGGTCTTACGCTTTTATTTAACTATAATGTCCTTGTCACATCCAACAAAAGGAACACTTGCTTAATGTTATCTAGTACAAGTCCATATACAAGTTTTCCCTTCATGTCAAAAATGATCTTTTTATAGTTGGGCTTGTTTTGAATCAGGATCCAAATATGGACCACATGTTAGCATTTGTTTTTGTCTTTGAATTTCTCAGTCTAGAACAGTACCACTCCCCACTCTGCCCCACCAGGTCCTCCACTTTGTTTTTCATAGCATTGATTTGTTGAAGACACTGGTTCATGCGTCCTGAGAATTTCCCAGGATGATTATGGGTTTGACTGATGCTTCCTTAAACAATTAATTCATTCTTCAATACCCTGTATTTTATCTGTCGACCAGAAATTGGCAGTAAAGATTGGAAATAGGCAGGTTTGCAGAGGGGAATATCATGTTCTTCATATTTCATGACTTCAGGGAGGCATAGAGTCCTTGATTGTCTCAGTTTTTTTTTTTAAGATTTTTTTTTTTTTTTTTTTTTTTTTAACGGAGAGCACAAGCAGGGGGAGTGGCAGGCAGAGGGAGAGCAGGGAGCCCAATGTGGGACTCCATCCCAGGGCCCTGGGATCGTGACCCGAACCAAAGGCAGACGTTTAACTGGCGGAGCCAATCAGGCATCCCAGATTGTCTCAGTTTTAGATACTAAGCACGATCGGTATGTTTAGGTGGGGATGTTCTGATCCCTTCATTGTAAAGTTCCCTTTTACCTAATTATTTTAATATTCGTTAATAATTGCTCCTTGAGTCAGTAATTTTATTAAGAGTTAAAGAAGGGTGTTTTGTAATTTTATAATTTCTCTCTCAGTTACTAGCTGGAGTTCTGTGTAAAATATCTTTCCTTCTTCGATGAGCACTATTTGGTAACTTTGAAATATAGTTTATGTTGGAAAATGGGATATATACTTAATTTATTTCCCTTGGTTAACAGTTTTTACAGTAGTGAGTTGATGTCCTAATAGTTTCACATAGTGTATTAAGAGTCTGTCCTCTACTACTTAAAAAAAATTGTGGTAAAATACACGTAGCATAAAGTTAACCATCTTCACTATTTTTTAAGTGTGCAGTTCAGTAGCGTTAAGTACATTCACACTGTTGTGTAACCAATTTCCAGAACTCTTTTCATCTTGCAAAACTGAAACTCTATACCCATTAAATAGCTCCCCACTCCCCCCGCTCCTGCTGGCCCTGGCAACCACCCTTCTGCTTTCTGTTTCTATGAATTTGACTCCATGTACCTCACATAGTGGAATCATACAGTACTTGTTTTTTTGTGACTGGCTTATTGCACTTGGGGCATAGTGTCCTCAAGGCTCACCTGTACTGTGGCACGTGACGGGATATCCTCCCTTTTCAAGGCTGAATAATATTCCGTTGCATGTTTGTACCACATTTTGTTTATCTACTCATCCGTTGATGGACACTAGGGTTGCTTCCACCCCTTGGGTATTGCTTGAATAACACTGCTGTGAACACGATGTACAAATATCTTTTGGAGACCCTACTTTCAATTCTTCCAGGTATGTACACAGAAGTGGAATGGTTAGATCATATGGTAACTCTATTTTTAATTTTTTGAGGAACCCCCCCCAGTGCTGTTTTCCACAGCCGTTGCACCATTTCACATTCCTGCCAACAGTGCACAAGGGTTCCAGTTTCTCCACATCCTCGCCAACACCTGTCATTTTCTGTTTTGCCTGTCTGTCTGCTTGCCTCCGATGGTAGGCACCGTAATGGGCATGAGGTGGCCTCCTCTGTTGCTCTTACAATGAACTCGTTGGTTTTCACATGTTTGGGATGTTGGGGTCAGTCGCTTTTCCATGGTCAGACTGTTTCGTCTTTGGTTGTGGAACTCTGTCAGGCTGGCTCCTACGTCCTGTGGACATGAACTCATGAAGCCTAAGAAGCTTCCTTACTTTCAGTCCCAACAGGATGTCCTGGGCACATTTCTTGTGCTAAATGTGGAATCAGCCATCCTTCTAAAGAGCCAGGTTTCTTGCAGTGAGGAATGGTATTTAGACGTCACATTCTGGGTACCAGAGTTGCTTGCTGGGTATATTTGCTACATGGCCTTTGCAGTGGCCAGGGCTGAGAAGTATATGTTTTTATTTATTTATTTATTGAAAAGGTTTTATTTATTTAAGTAATCTCTACACTCAGTGTGGGGCTCGAAATCATGACCCTGAGATCAAGAGTTGCTTGCTCTTCTGACTGAGCCAGCCAGGTGCCCCAAGAAGTATATGTATTTTTTTAGAAAAGATTTTATTTATTTATTTGAGACAGAGAATGAGTGAGCAAGAGAGAGCACAAGCAGGGGGAGAGAGAGAGATAGAAGCAGACTCCCTTGCTGAGCAGGGAGACGACATGGGGCTCGATCCCAGGACCCTGAGATCATGAGCTGAGCTGAAGGCAGACGCTTAACCAGCTGAGCCACCCAGGCGCCCCAGAAGTATATGTTTTTAAAAAGAAGAAAGAGGGGGTGGAGCACGTGACTCTTAATCTTGGGTTTGTGAGTTTGAGCCCCACATTAGGCATGGAGCCTCCTTTAAAAAAAAAAAAGGTTAGAAAAATCATGAGTTTATACTGGTATTCAAATGTAAAATTTTATGGAGTTTTTATGTAACTGATTTTATACTGAAAATCTTGGTTCCTAAGATTTTCCTACCACACATACATATATACACACAAATTTTGAAGTATCAATACCAATATTATTTTTAACATTAGGACAACTACATAAAGTCGAGGGTATATTTGCAGTTCTTTCTGCTCTGAGATCACATTAAGGATGTATAAGTCAAAATACTGCATTTTAAAGGTCACTGGGAACAAGTCTTTTTCCTATATGGTTATGTCACCAACTTGATACCTTGTTAGGTTAGTTTCTGTTTTTCAATTTTTAGGGAATGTTTTTATTTTTCTAGTTTAATTATATATTTTTAAGATTTATTTATTTGAGAGAGAGAGCGAGAGTGTGCATGCACGTGCATGCCTTCGTGTGTGCTCGGGGGGGAGGGACAGAGGGAGAGGGAAAGAGAGAATCTTAAACCGACTCCGTGCTGAGCTCTGAGCCCTATTCGGGGCTTGATCTCACAACCCCAAGATCACGACCCAAGCCCATACCAGTAGTTGGGCACTTAACCAACTGCACCACCCAGGTGCCCCAGTTTTATCTAGTTTTAAAACCTGGGGCCCAGGGGGTGCCTGGGTGACTCAGTCAGTTAAACCTCCGACTCTTGGTTTCAGCTCTGGTCATGATCTCAGGGTCGTGGGATTGAACCGTGCACGGGGCTCCGTGCTGAGTGTGGGGTCTGCTGCTTCTCTCCTTCTGACCCCCCCCTTCCCCACCTCCTTCTCAAATAAATCTTCAAAACAAAACCTTGGACCTGGTGACAGGTGTTGGAATTAAAAAACAAAAACAACAAAAAACAAAACAACCTATGTAAAACATTTATGTGATTCCAAGCTTAAAACTACATGATAAGGGCCTCCCTGAAGTCTTGGAAATCCCTGTTGCTTTCGCTCTATTCCCTCCTGCCCCGTGAGTGACCATTTCTCTTCACTTGTGGTTTACCTCTGCCTGGCTCCTGTTTTGCAAGTACGTGTGGGTGTGCCTGTGGGGGGGGTCATCCTCCCCCCTTTCTTACCGTTGTGCACCAAAAGTAGTATCTATATAAAAAAAAGGCTTTTATTATGGAACGTCCCAAACACATGTAAAAGGGATAACAAACCCTCCCTAAGCAACTGCCAACCCCTGGCCCGTCTCGTTTGACGTATTTTCTCACCCACCCCTCCCAGCTCATGGATTATTTCTGAACAAATCCCAACATCACTGTATCTGTAATAGTTCAGTGTGTGTCTATAAAATACGAGGTTTTCCTCACAAAAAACATGGATATAGTATCATCACATCTCAAAACTGATAGTCATGGTAATTTCTTATTATTATCAGACCTTAATACTAAGTGTCAAATGTCCCAGTATCATCATCAAGTTGGTGTTCAAATATCTCTCTTTACGGTTGGCTTGCTTGAATCAGGGACCAAATAAGTACTATACATTGCAATGTGAAAATTTCTCTTGAACTTCTTTTAATCTGTAAGTTTCCTTCTTCTCTCTGTTTTTCCCTTGAAATCTATTTGTTGAGAAAAACAGGGCTGTGTGTCCTGTAGAGGCTCCATGTTCTGGGTTTTGCTTTTCCTGTCCTCCCCAGCGACTTGTCCCTCTAAGCCACTCCTCTGGGCCCGGGTCAGTGGCCCCCACAGGGAAGCGTGAGCACAGTGGTCCCCTTTTGACTCAGAAGGGCCTGTGCTGATGCGGGCGCCTGTGCAGGCTGCTGCTCCCCCTGGGCTGTCTGCGCTTTGGGCTGCAGGACTTCTCCCCGCTGGTTCTCTCCTGAGTCTGGGAGTTAGGGAACTGTTGCCCGCTCCGCCCTTTTCTGTGGGCATGTGTGGTCAGCTGTGGCTCGGCACAGCCCCGAGTGGGCAGGCAGGGCTGAGGGCATGGACACTGGCAGGACCACTCAGTCCACCTGCCCTGGGGGCTTCTGAGGGCCAATCAGGTCTGCTCTGGAAGTCCCTGAGCCACTGGGCTAGAGGTGTCCAGCAGGAGTTGCCTCTGCTGGGTGGGGGCAGAGGGCCTGGTGGGTCTGGCAGTGGAGTGGGGTCTGAGACTTGAAGAAGTGCCTTTGGCCTCTGGAAAGGAAAAGCTGGTCTGCTGCTAAGCCTGAGGGAAGGAACACTCCCAGTCCTAGAAGCAGGACTGATCTTTGGAAATACAGCATCAGTTCTGTCTCTGATGAATGAGGTGAGAGGCAAAGCTTGCTTGGGTGTATCAGTACTTTTAGCAAGGCCTGGGGGTGCCGGGTATCCTGGGAGGGTGGACGAGAGCATGGTTGGGGGAGGGTAGTGGTGGCTATTCTGACCCCTGTTCTAGGAAGGCCAGACTGCTGCGGTTGGAGAGCCGAGAGCTCGCAGCACCTGTGGCACCTGCGTGACCTGCTTTCTTGGTGTTTTTTCCTAGACTTGCCAGGTGTGCCAGATGCTGCTGCCCAACCAGTGCAGCTTCTGCGCCCACCAGCGGATCCACGCCCACAAGTCCCCCTACTGCTGCCCGGAGTGTGGGGCCCTCTGTCGCTCTGCCTACTTCCAGACCCACGTGAAGGAAAACTGCTTGCACTATGCCCGCAAGGTGGGCTACAGGTGGGTGCTGCCTGGCGTGCTGTCCGGGGGCGGCCCAGTGGCTGGTCCTTTTCTGGGGCCGGACTCATTTCAGGATGAGCTTTGGTCGTGAGGGGCCTGGGCCCCAGCCCTAGTAAGACAGTAAGGTAGTTGGTATTTGGATAGGTGTTTTTATTTTTAGAGAACAAGAAGAGGAAGGGGGACAAGAATAAGGAGTTAAAAGAATTAAACATGAAAAAGTAGCTTTGAAGGGATGGTTTGGGGGGATTAGTTTGGTGTTTAAAAGTGTATAGAGTTAATTTGCTTACAGAGTTACTGTGTTTGGCATATTAAATTTAAAGTACCATTACAATAATACATTTACTAATTGCAGTACTTTCAGATGTTCTCAATTTCCATTAACAACTGGAACTGCAAGGTGCAAAGGGCTTTAGTATCTTTACGTTGATGAATTTTTGTCCGTTTGTGAGAAACAAGCACAACCTGAAAATGGAAAAACGATCGGCCTCATAGTAAAACCAAGAAAACTATTTTAAACTGAGTCTCCTCCACATGTCAAATAAATGTAGGCAAGAAGTCATTTTCAGGAAAACGATCAAAATGGGGAGGAAAAGGCCCTCCCAAACACATTGATCTCTAACTTCTACAGCCACTCGGTGAGACCCCCTTTACTGATTTACTACAGTTGGGAGTTTCTACATCTTCTGATTTTTTTTTACATTATCACTTTCACACCTGAAAATTAATTTTGTCCAAATTTAGTAAGGTTTTCTTCTCTTTAGTATTTAAAAAAAATACTGATTTAGTTCACTGAATCACTTTCTTTTCGAGTACCTATTATGATCTGTAGCGCTGTGCTGGACACTCAGGATGCAAAGGGGATTGGGACAGAGCTGCCGCCGTCAGGGGCTTCAGTGTGGTGGGTCTTGGACTGCGAAAGTGACGGTAACACAGAGCAGTAAGCCCCACGGTAGGAGTGGTCAGGGAAGCTCACAGAGGAGTTAGTAGGTTTTCCAGCAAGCAAAAGAGGGAGAGCATGTCTGGCAAGGGTACAGGCAGGGATGCCAGTGCACACAAAAGGTTATAGGAATGATGAACATTTTGGGGGGGTGGGGAGATGAACTCGGGGTGGGGTGGGAAATGAGGCCAGGGCATCGGTAGGGCCAGGCCCAGGCGAGGCCTTATAGTCCTTGGCAGACACTTAGACTTTCTCCAGTGAACAGTGAGGGGCTCCAGATGGATCTGGAGCAGGGGAGTGTCTGGCTAGACCTGTGCTTCAGGAAGACGGCTCTGGGAAGCTGACGTGTGTTTAGGAGAGAGTCCAGACTGGTGGGGAGGCAAGTGTGATGGTCCAGGTGAGAGGCTGGGGGCTCCAGCTGAGGCACGGCAGCTGTGGGGATGGAGAGAAGGTAGATCCGGGAGAGCTTTAGGGAGTAGAGGCATTAAAGCTTGATGGTAGCTCGAAGACGGGGTGGGGGTGGGGTGGGGAGGGGCTGCGGGGACTCCCAGGCTTCTGTCCTGGTGTAAGCACTTCCAAATGCAGACTAGCTTCTTTTGCACGTTGTGGGAAATGGAGACCCTAAAGTGCAGGAAAAACAGAACAAACCAGAGATGGGTTATTCAAAGTCTTTGCCACTGGGTTGCAGAAGAGCATTGCTTGGCAGCATCCCAGGCCACTGTTTTTGTTGTGTTTTTAAGTAATCTCTACCCCCAACATGGGGCTCGAACCTACAACCCCGAGATCAAGAGTCGCAGGCTCCACCGACTGAGCCAGCTGGGTGCCCCCCTCCAGGCCACATTTTTAAGCCAAACAACCTGAACGTGTGTTTTTACAGTGTTGTGTAACATTTGAAAGTACCTTTCCAACTGTGACTTAAGCGTGTGCTGCTAGTTCCAAGATCAAGTCCAATCCACTAAAAATGCAAGCAGTACTTAAATTTTTATCTTTGAGTTTTGAATCCAAGGAATTTCCAATGACACAGAGATAGATTCATAGCATTTTTTTTTGGTCTTGTTTTTTTTTTAAGATTTTATTTATTTATTAGAGAGAGATCATGAGCAAGGGGGAGGGGTAGAGGGAGAAGCAGACTCCCCGCTGAGCAGGGACCCTGATGTGGGGCTCAACCCCAGGAACCCTGGGATCATGACTTGAGCTGAAGGAAGACGTTTAACCAACTGAGCCACCTAGGCACCTTGGCCTTTTAATTCAATATTTTATTTTACTTTCATCTGCAAGAATAAAAAGAAACGTAGGGTCTCAAAAGCAATTCACTTTGTCAGGCCTTTTTTTTTTTTTAGGATTTATTTATTTGAGAGAGAGAGACAGAGGGAGCAGGGGGAGGGGCAAAGGGAGAGGGAGAAGCAGATTACCCCCTAGGTGGGGAGCCGGATTTGAGGCTCGATCCCAGGACCCAGAGATCATGACCTGAGCTGAAATCAAGAGTTGGGCACTTAAGCAATTGAGCCACCCAGATGCCCCTGTCAAGCCTTTTTGTAAGGAATGTTAGAGAGAAGTGTAATGTGATTCAGGCAGAGGGCTTACTGGAGATCTTGACATTAAAATCTTCAGTGGCCCGTGGCTGAACCCAGAAGACAGATACACTAGTACAGTATTGGTTGTGCTTAAGGTCTTCAGCTATTCACATATATTTTTTTGTATCAGCTTTATTTAGACACACAGCATACAGTCACCCATGTAATATGTACAATTCAGTGGTTTTTAGTGTATTTACAGAGTTCAGTCACCATAACCAATTTTAGAACATTTTCATCATTCCAAAAGAAACTCTATATTCATAACTCTTCCATTCCCCATCCCTCAGCTACTACTAATTTATTTTCTGCCTCATATATTTGCTTCTTTTGGACATTTCACAGGAATGGAATCATAGAATACGTAGTCTTAGCCAAGATTCATCGCCATTGTAATATGTCAGCATTTCACTCCTTTGTTACGGCTGAATGATATTCCTCTGTCTGTAGATACCACAGTTTGCTCAGCCGTTTACCAGTTGATAGACACTTGGGGTTCCACCTTTTGGCCGTTATGAATAATGCCCCCGATGAACATTCATCCATCAGTTGTGTGGACACATATTTTCCATTCTTTTTTTTTTTTTTAAGATTTTATTTATTTATTTGAGAGAGAGAATGAGATAGAACAAGAGGGAAGAGGGTCAGAGGGAGAAGCAGACTCCCTGCTGAGCAGGGAGCCCGATGCGGGACTCGATCCTGGGACTCCAGGATCATGACCTGAGCCGAAGGCAGTCGCTTAACCAACTAAGCCACCCAGGCATCCTTTATTTTCCATTCTTTTGGGTAGATACTTGGGAGTAGAAGAGCTGGATCAGCTGGTAACTCTGTTTAACTTTTTGAGGAACTTGCCAGACTGTTTTCAAAAGTTGTTGTACCATTTCTATGTTCCTACCAGCAGGCGGATGAGATTTTTTATTTCTCTGCATCCTTGCCGGCATTGTTATTGTCTGACTTCTGCTGATGGCCATCTCTGGGGGGGGCGGGGGAGTGGCGTCTTGTTATGGTTTTGATTTACATTTTCCCGATGGCTCACAGTGTTGAGCATCTTTTATGTTCGGTATTTGTGTATCTTCTTTGGAGAAATGTCTATTTGCCCAGTTTTGAATTGGGTTGTTTATTATCTTACTATTGAGTTATAAGAGTTCCTTGTATATTCTGGATATAAGTCCCTGGTCAGATACATGATGTGCAAATACTTCCTCCCGTTCTGTGGGTATTCTATTTTTCAGTGAACTCTCAAAGTGTACCTATGCTCCGTTTCATTGAGTTCTACTACAGTCTTACAGTCTTATTTTGTTTTGTGTTATTTTTGCTTTTTTTGAAGACATAGTCAAAATACATCTTATATGTATGTATTTCATGTAAAATGTGTATATACATTATATATAAATTTCACAATTGTATAAGTTATTCTGATCTTTGTTGAAAATCTGGAGAGTGGCCAGTGATGTCATAAAGGAGCAAGTTTAGACTGTTCTTAGTGATATGTCATTTTTTTTATTATTTGTGATTATTAGGACAATTAAATATTTTACTACTCTTTGTCTTTTCTAAAACTTTACATATTTCGTAGCATGTGATTCTATAATTGTGTATTTTCTCTTAAAAATTGGTAAACAGTTGTGTCATGCGGTCAGATTTCTCTTCTGCAGGCTTTTTCATCAATTTGTAAACCATACTTGACTCGGTCTTTCACTGACTTGGTGTGTGTTCTTTTACCCCTTTATGTTCTCACTTTCCATGAGATTTCTTTGAAGAATGTCTCTTCAGTACATAGAGTGGGTTTTTAGCCACAGTTTTGAAGAGTATATTTATATTGCCCCTGCTGAAGTTTGGTCAGACTGCACAAATAAGGCCACTTAAGATTCTTACACATATCAGGTGTACTTGACCACTTTGGATGAATTTGGAAATACGTGGATTTCATTCTCTCCTCACAATACGTTGTGGTGTAGAAGTACTTCTATGTACTGGAGGTTGGTCACTATTTTGTCTAGCGGGAGAGAAAAGAAAATATAATTGAGTAGCTTGTATAGAAATTCTAAAGCATGTACAAATTTAGTAATGAGTACACATCAGAGGCCATTGCAGACAGCTTTCTGGTTCTGTGGGCTGCTCCTCGTAGCTAATTACGTTTGCAAAGGGGGTTCCATCTCCAACCCCCCCACCCCCCAAACACACAGAAAAGGAGGAAAAACAAAAAAGGACCGGGTGGGATTCTGTGATGATATAGGTGGACTGTGAAAACGGGCTCATGTAGTGAATAGAAGGGCTGTATTTGGGAGTCAGAGAATTTTTAAGTGAAGGCATGTCCTTTTTTTCAGGAAAGCAACAGCCTCTCGTGCTTACTGGGATGTCGGGGTTACGGGGTCAGGCCATACTGCAACAAAAGGGAGCTCAAAGTTACCTCAAGGGGCATGGCTGGGCGCAGGGAAGGTGTTTTCTCACACAGGGGAGATGGGGGTATGTGTCTAGGCAGGAGGAAAAAACGAATGTGTGAGAGGGTCTAGGTCCCGGAGTGGCTGGAGGATGGCGTGGAGGTCACATAGGTTCACGGGACAGAGGAAAGGGAAGGCCAGATTTATGGAGGGGGACTGAAGTTGATGGAAGAGTCCAGCATGCCTCAGTCTCAGGAAAAAATGGTTTAAGATAGTTCATACATGCTACAAATGATATATTCGCTAAACAAAGCTCGGAAAATACAACTTGGGGGAAAAAGAAGTAAAAAGTTATCCACGGTGCCACGAGGGAGGTGCTCCGACACTTAGGAGCTACATGGCCCAGAACGGTACCAGCCACGTCTGGCTGTTGAGCGCTTGACACGTGGCCAGTGTGACTGGCCATTGTATTTTATTAATTTAAATCTAAATTACCACGTGGCCAGGACAATACAGAACATACCTGCTGTCACCACAAGTTCCCCTGGATGGTGCCCCTCGGGAGGATTCCTTCCAGGGCCTTGAGGCTGCGTGCTTTACTCTACCTGTGGCTTGGGCGAGCGCAGCGGTTCCCAACCGCACTTTGCATGCAGTGGCCATCCCCGCCCACTCACTACCAGCCTGTGGGAAGGCACAGGCTCTCCGTGGCCTCCTCCTGAAATTTCCTCTTGGACCCCTGCAGTGGTGTCGCACTTCAGAGGGTTTTGTTTATGTCATCTTGGAACCATTCCCCTCCCTCTCCATTCCCACCAGCTTCTCTCTGGCCAGTGAGGGGTGGGACAGGTTTCTTCCCCCTTCTCTCCCAGGTATAGCCTCGGGCTTGGGGGGCCCTGGTGACCTCACTGTGCCAGATGGTGGCAGACAGGCTCTCAGGATGTACGTGTGGAAGATGGAGGGGGAGAGAGGGCCCCCGAGATGGCTCTGTTCCTGCCCTCTGTCCCTCCTCTTCCAGCACTACTTCTGGGTCTGACACGCCTCCCACACCCCACCACTCCTATCATCCAGGTGCATCCACTGCGGGGTCGTCCATCTGACCTTGGCCTTGCTGAAAAGCCACATCCAGGAGCGACACTGCCAGGTTTTCCACAAATGTGCATTCTGCCCCATGGCCTTCAAGACTGCCAGCAGCACCGCGGACCACAGTGCCACTCAGCACCCCACCCAGCCTCACAGACCCTCCCAGTGAGTGAGCGCCAGGGCCGGAGCGGAGTGGCTCGGGTGTACCGGGGAAGGTGTTGGGACAGACCAGGGAGCTGCAGCAGGCGGCAGAGGTGCCTGGGGTACACTGAAGGCATCCTGAGGCAGGGGAGTAGCCACGTCGGCTTAGAGTAGTGCTTTCCCAAACCCGACCCTGGTTCAGAGAGAGCAGAGATGGGGTGGAGGTTCTGCGCACAGAGCCTGGCCACCTCACGCCCAGGGCCTTGTTTCTCCAGGCTCATTTATAAGTGCTCCTGTGAAATGGTCTTCAACAAGAAGAGGCACATTCAGCAGCATTTTTACCAGAATGCCAGCAAGACGCAGGTGGGCGTCTTCAAGTGCCCTGAGTGCCCACTCTTGTTCCTGCAGAAGCCGGAATTGATGCAGCACGTCAAGGTGGGGTGCCCTGGGGAAGGAGGCTGGGGAGGAGGGCACGCGCCTCAGGCCGGGGGTCTGACTCTGTGCATCTTTCCCCTTGCCCAGTCAGTAATCGCTCTCCCCATCCCCAGAGCACCCACGGTGTTCCCCGAAACGTGGACGAGCTGTCAAGCCTCCAGTCTTCGTCGGACACGTCCTCAGGCCGCCCTGGCTCTCGAGTTCCCCCTGAGCCCCCAGCCACGAGCGTGGCTGCTCGGGGCAGCTCCCTGTCGTCTAGCCGCTGGGGCAGGCCCGAGGCCCATCGCAGGGCTGAGGCCAGGCCCCGGCTGAGGAGCACTGGCTGGGCCTGTCCGGAGTGCCAGGAGTGGGTCCCTGATCGGGAGAACTATGTGTCCCACATGAGGAAGAGCCACGGCCGGGTAAGTGTCCTCACGTGGTCACCACGCAGGGCCGGACTCTGGACTTCTGTCCTGTGGGTCAGAGCCCCCTCATGTGGCTGGCCCTCTTAAAGTTCCCGGGGCTTTGGGCAGGGTGGGTACCACAGATCCTGAGGTCTTTCCTCCTACGTCGCCCGAGGAGAAAGATCCGCCCGGAATGGCCTTATAGTTCTGATGCCTTGCCTCCTGTCATCGCCCGCAGACGTTGAAGCGGTACCCGTGTCGACAGTGTGAACAGTCCTTTCACACCCCCAACAGCCTGCGCAAACACATCCGCAACAACCATGACACAGTGAAGAAAGTCTATACTTGTGGGTGAGTGCCTGGAGGTGGGAGCCAGGAGGCCTGAAATTCAAAAAGACTGTCGCCGGCACCACTGGGGCTTTTCTCTGCTGTGAGATCGGGGGTCGGAAGCGAGAGAGAAGCGAGTTTCTCATGGAAAGATGCTCAGTCAGGAGGCAGGGCCGGTCGGGAACCAGCTTCTAGCCCCTGGTGGCCCCTGAGCCTCCCCCTCCCTACCTCCCCCACCCTGGGCCGCACTGCCGGTCAGCGCTACCAGCCCTGAGGTTTGGGAGGAGTGTGGTGATGGGACCATGTGCCCTGTCTGGCCGAGAGCCTTCGACATCATGTCTGTGCTTCAGACACACCCTGGCCTCTTCCTTGCTGACCGCCAGCCCAGCCCTTGGGCCTCTGGGCAGTGATACCAGGGAGCGGACAGTGAGATCATGGCTCAGGGCCAGGACAAATATTCTGACTTGCTGTTGTCTGCCACCTTGGCTGGCTTGCCAGCTCCATGTCTCTGGGGAGTGCCCAGCACTAGCCGACCAGCCTGATGACCCCCCCCCGCAGCCAGCTCTCCGCCTGCTCCAGACTCTCTCCCTGGGGGCCAGAAGCAGCGTGCACCTCGCCTCCCTGCCGGGTGCGTGCGGCCCCGCTGGGCTCCCTGGGGCCTTTCGTCTCAGACCCTGTCTTCGGGCTGTGCTCCCGCAGGTACTGCACAGAGGACAGCCCGAGCTTTCCTCGGCCCTCCCTCCTGGAGAGCCACATCAGCCTTATGCATGGTATCAGAAGCCCTGATTTGAGCCAGACGTCCAAAGTCAGACCTCCGGGCGGACATTCCCCTCAGGTGAGTGTGGGCCTGCCCCTGGAGCGGCCCACTCCGTGAGCCCCTTGAGCCGGCTACAGGGGGCCCATCTGTGATGGCCACGGAGCAAGCAGCAGTGACAGCTTCCCTCACTGTGGCTCATTCTCCAGTCCTGTGTGACCCACCTGGGGACCGCACACAGGTAAAGGACAGGGACAGAGCCCTGGGAGGCAGCCCGTTAGCATTTTTTTCCGTGGCTTCCCTGTCATTGTGATCCCTTCCTAGCCATGTGACCTGCCGTGTGGACCCTGGAGTGGATCCACACATGCCATCCTGAGGCTGCCCCTCTAGTCCCGGGGGTGGGGGGTGGGGGGTGGGGAGCAGGTGCAAGGGGGGCTGAGGATGGCAGTGCTCACCTGAGTGTGTATGTGTGTGTGTGTGTCTCTCTCACACACGCACACTCGTTACAGGAGGAGCCAAGCCTAGACTCCTGGAATCCTGACCCCCGTTTTATAACATCATCCCTGTTCCATGCCCTCGTCCCATTTCCTGGGAACTTCTGGAACGGTGTGGTTTCCCCTCCTCGCGGCAGGCTGTGGTAGGGAGGGCTGCTTCTCAGAGGCTCGGTCATGTCTGGGAAATTCTGAGGGCTGCCTGGAGTTCCAGGGCATCCCTTCTTGGCTCCTCGGAAAAGGGCATTGGTCAGCAGAAGCCCTTTCACACACAGCAAGGTGGGGTGTGTGCTGACGTTTTGGCAACATCTGTCTGTGTTTGAATCGCACACCCCGCCCCCCTCCCGATGCACATGGCCTTTGATCCAGCAGTTTCGTCCCTAGGATTTATCTGTCCTACATCTTTGGCCTGGGGCCTGAAGAGGTCCGTGCACCGCACTGCAGGGCTGTGTGCCGTAAGCAGTGAGGGAGCGCAACTCCGTGTTGGCCAGAGGGGACCGTTCACCCCTCTGACGTGTCAGTGCCGCTGTGAGGAGAACGAAGCCTCTGTGTGTGCCCTCACGGAGACAGCGGCCAACACATGTCCTTAAGTAGAAAAAGCAGGGTGAAGAAGAGTGTTCGTGTAATACTCTCATTTCGTAAAAGGCCACAGTTGTCTCTCTGTGCGTGCATAGACGGTCTCTGGGAGGGACCTCGAGGAGAGCAGGCCTGGGGAGTGGGGTAAGAGGGACTTCATCTTCTCTCTGCCCTTCCCATAGCTTTGGGATGTGGCGCCACATACATCTGTTACATGAGACAAAACAAGAGCCCACGGGAAAACCTGAAAGACACCAAATGTAAACCTGCGGTTCAGGGCTGGGGCGAGCCTGGCCCCCCCCCGCCGCCCCCCGGTGGTTCTGCGCATCCTGGTGTGGGGCTCCGGCCTGGGGCCCGGCCCGGCTCACACTGTCTCCCCTGCAGGTGAGCCATCTGAAGAGACCAGGCAGCGGAGCCGGGGACGCTCCGGGCACCAGCAATGGCGCAGCGGTCTCTTCTACCAAAAGGCACAAGTCCCTGTTCCAGTGTGCGAAGTGCAGCTTTGCCACAGACTCGGGGCTCGAGTTTCAGAGCCACATACCTCAGCACCAGGCGGACAGCTCCACGGCTCAGTGTCTCCTCTGTGGCCTGTGCTACACCTCTGCCAGCTCCCTCAGCCGCCACCTCTTCATCGTCCACAAGGTGAGAGACCAGGAAGAGGAGGCGGAGCCAGATGAGGGCTCCGGGGAGGAGGTGTCCATGGAGACCAGGGAGAACGGACTGGAAGAATGTGCCGGAGAGCCTTTGTTGGGCGACCCAGAGGCGAGATCACCAGGCCCGGCTTCTGAGGAGGACGGTGCCCAAGATGCTCAGAGTCACCCACAGGCCTCTCAGGACCAGGACAGCCACGCACCGTCCCCTCAGCTGTGACCGGAGGCTCTGCAGTGTGTGCGGCCGGGGTGGTGCCATGGCGTCCCCCGCCCACTGCGGGGACGGTGGGAGAGAGAAGGCCCCGCCCCGGTGTGCGTGCGGCCGGCTGTGCCCTGGAGCAGTGTCTGCCCTGAGCTGCGGGTGCCCGGTGTCCCCCAGCCCCGGGAAATGTGTGGTCGCCCAGGACCCTCACAGCTCTGAATCTGCTTCTGTTATTTATGGCTTTGTGCTGCTTCTTGGTACCCCAACTCTTGTCTGTGTCCTTCCAACCCCAGGCTGCTTACGTGGCCCGGCCCCAACGCTGTCAACTCGGCTTGAAGCCCCATCAGCGCTGTGCTCTTCTGGGAGGTTCCCGTGTGCTGCCCTCAGCCAGGGGTCTCCTCGGAGCTCTCCTTCCTGCCCGCAGAGCCGGAGAAGGGGGTGAGGGTGCTGGTGCACTCCCTCGGAGAGCTCCACCCAGGCTGGCTTGGTGAGGGCCCTTGATCACCTTGCCCTTCCTTCCTGTCTTCTTTCTCCCCTGAAATAGTCCTGGAGAATGAGTTGTCACACTGGCTCCTCCTGTCTGTGGGTGGGAGAGAGTTCTGCAGCGCACCTCCGCTTGGAACCCGGAGAGCGGGCAGCGCGCCAGGGCAGGCAGGCCGCGAGAGGCGGAGCGCCGGCCGAAGGAGCTGTGCGTCCCTGTGCTGCCTTCCCCGGCTCGCGGGCTCGCGGGCCGGGGGCGCCCAGACGTTGGAATGTTTGTTCTCTCGCTCCTGTGCCATTAGAGAGGCTGCTGCCTCAGGCAGGTCAGCCCCTCCTCCTCTGGCTACACTCATGTTGCTCAGACTATATTTCAAATAAAAAATCTTCTGACCATGCAGGTAGGCTCTTGTATTCCTCTTCAAGTGAGCCTGGCCCTACCCTGCTCCACTTCAGTCTCTCCCAGACTTCCCTCACTGTCCCGTCTCTGAGGGAGAGCAACGGTGCCTACTGTCCGAGGAAGGTCCGCTCTAGATTCTGGAGCTGTGCTTAGGAAACCAGGAGCTCGGTACTTGGTCCTCTAGAGACCTCCTAAGGGTGTGAGGGGAGGGTCTTAATACTGGTCAAGGGGCCCCTGCAAGGCCTCCCCGGGGCTAGCAGCATTGGCTTAGGGCCTATTGAAATGTCCTGGGCACCCCCATCTTTCCTACAAGTGGATTTTCCTCCTAAGAGAACCTTTACCGGTGGTGGTGGTGGGAGGGGTAGAGGGGAGGAATTCTAGGATTATCTCGCAGAGGTCCCGGTGTTGCCGCTGCCACGGGGAGCTCTCGGGTGCGGCAGAATTGGGGTTAGGGGAGGCTGGGCTGTCTCTTCACCGGTGGCCGAGTTCGGGCCTGACCAAGCCCAAGGGGCAGGCCGTGTGGAGGTGTCCTCTGACCTCTGACCCAGGCTGCTACTGCAGCCCTGCACGGCCGAGGGGTGCGACTGGGCCCGGCAGGATCTAGTGCAGCAAAGGCAAGTGGGTGCTGGCTGAGTTCTTAGAGGTGCTCTTTCAAGGAAGGCATTGAATAGCAATTGTAAACTGTTAAGTCAGTTAAATACACCTGACCTTTCCACAACAGAAAAAAAAGTACATTTTCTTTTTTTGTCCAATGCCAGATTTTGAGTGGAAACGCTCATGGCCCTGAGAACGGTTAGTGCTCGCCTCAGTGTCAGACTCTGCTGTTTAAGGATTGCTATACTTGGCAAGGCCGCCGTGTCCCTCTGCCCCAAGCAGGCGGTGAGGCCGCCTGCAAGGCCTGAGCTCACTCCATCTTGGCTGTCGTCCCTTTCCTAATCCCACTGCAGGTGCCCACCCGCGCCGCATGGTCCATTCACAGGAACACTGCCGAGCAGGCTCTGAGAAGGGTTTGGAATGGATCGTCGGATCTCTTCCTGCTCCCGAGCAGCGGTAGGGGGAGTAGGGACGGGGACGGTGACCTTGGGCACCGCCGGGCCGACCCGGGTCCGCCTCTCTTTCCTGGGAATGGTGCGGAGGGGAAAGAATGCCCAGCTACTCACCAGGAGACCTGGGGCGCAGCCTGGATTCTGCCCTTAACCGGCTCCTAACAAACGCCCTCGCTTCACCGCCGCCCCCCCCCCCCCCCCGCCTTCCAAATAGTCCTGGTAACTCCCACGGAACTCGCTACCCGGGCTTTGTGAGACAGCGAGCGTGGAGGCGCCCTAGACATGGGAGGGATTCTTGCCTTTAGGGCGTGCGGGGAGGCGGGGTGGGGTGGAGTGCACACACCCCTCCCCCTCCCAGCCGTCAGCCATGGACGTGGATGTGGACGCGGATGCCGCCTGCCCGGCCACGCTGCGGCAGTGGTGACGCTAACAGCACGTCGGCCCTGCTTGCGCGGCCTGCATCTTGCTAGAGACTTTGCCGTGATTTTCATAATCACGAGGATCTCCCAGTTAACCCTCCTCCATCTCACGGAGAAGAACAGAGAAGCTGCTGGGCGGCCCGTACGCGCCGGTGCCGTCAGGCCGGTCTGGTTCTAAAGTCCACGGCCGCACCCCCGTGCTGTCTTCGTGGCCCGGCTGCTTTGGCTGGCTCCAAGCCTGCCAGCACTTTGCAGCCACCCAGACAGCGGCTTTCCTACCTCCCCGGTGGTTGGGGTGCCCCCCGGAGTGCCAGGTTCTCCTTGGGGTCCGTCTGTGCCTCATCAGCCCGAGGAGAACCCTGCGCGAAACATCTGTGCGCAACGGTCTGAAGCAGAGGAGGTGTTCCCGTGACCTTTCATTTACCTTGGGGTTGACCTTGCCTTTGAAGACCATCATTTTGGGGGGGGGCATCCCAGGAAACATGGTTCCCTCAGGGTCCAATATCTTCTGCTCTTTTCGTAAGATGTTTATAATGGGTGTGCTATCCTATCATTTGTTATCATCAGCAAATGCTTGCTGTAACAAGTGCTTATGTGCAGTCAGCTGGAGTGAATGCTCTACTGATCAAGTTAACAGATAAGCTCCCCACCCTTGTAGAAACTACAGCTTAATACACTCTCAGGCTTGACAAATGACTAGTATTTATTTTCCAACTGCTTTATCTCTGTACAACGATGTGCCGAATTACTATAATTGGTGTAGAAAGAACTGTTCCCCTAACTTATGTAAACAGTCTGGTTTTGAAAACTTAACAGTTGTGGCTTAGCAAGTTCAACAGACTTTGCCTTCCCTGAGACAGAGGAACCCCCTGCCTGCTCTGTTCGCCACTGTATACTCAGCTCTGGGCGCACTTTCTTTTACTTGTTTTAAAAATTTTTTGTTACGGTTTTTTTTTTTTTTTTTAAACAGTCAATACATATACATGGTAAGATCCAAACAATACAAACGAATATACAGTGCAAAGTAAGCTTCCTATTGGAGGTCAGCCTTCAGTTCCCCAGTCTGCCTCCAGAATTAATCACTGTTATCTAGATCTTGTGTACCCTTTCTGAGCAATTCTATGCATTTACAAGTTTATAAATATGTATATTTATATATCTATTTTTAATACAAATGGTAGCATTCTATGCACAGTGTTCTGAAGCTTGCTTTTTTCACTTATGTAATGGAGATTGTTCCAAATTCATCCAGTGGGTCAGTCTAATTCTTTAAAAGCTCCTAGCACAGTTCCTTGCATACAGTAGCAGTCCAAAGAGTGTTCGAATGAGTGAGTGAATGCATGCATGTATGCACACGTGAATGAAAGGAGCGAATTCAACTGGTAGCTACAAAGGTCTCTCAGGGTCTGCTCTGAGCAAAGCAGGATGTTCTAGATTCTAGAATGTGTTGTGTCGTCACCCCTCCACCCCACCCTCATCTTTTCCAAGGGATCCAGGCTGTTCTTGACCTTGTCCACCAACAGATGCCACAGCAGTCTTAGCAAACTAGGTGCTGGGAGCCTTGAGCCCCTCTGGAGGAAAGAGCAAACCGAAAGAGCCAGGTCCCAAGAATAGGATTTTTTTCTTTTTCTTTTTTTTGAGGTCCCTATTCAAAATGCCTTTCTCTCATTGGAAAATGACATCGCTTTATTAGAGAAAATAAAAAAACGTGCGTATTTATAATCCCATCCTACTTTTGCGGTTGTTTTCATTTTTGTATATCAGTTTCCAGTCCTTTCCTACTGCTTTTCCAACTGGACTCTTGTTCAGTTCACAGATAAATATGATATGATGATGATAATAACAGAAGTGGAACATTTCTGCATGACAGGTGTGATTCTCACATTCATTCTCTTATGTAGGCACAAAACAATCCTATGAGGTGGATACTGCTATTCTTTTGGAGGTTCAGAGTGGTTGAGTAATTTCCCTAGGCCACAGAGCGCATAAGGGGCAAAGCTGGGATTCCTTCAGGTGTGACTAGCACTACTCTGCCTCTGATTTTGTACAGTACTTTTTTTTTTTTTTTAAGATTTAATTTATTCATGAGAGGCAGACAGAGGCAGAGGCTGACGAAGAAGCCGGGAGCCTGATGCAGGACCCCGGGATCATGACCTGAGCTGAAGGCAGACGCTCAACCAACTGAGCCACCCAGGCACCCAGTACCCTACTTTTTTCTACTTAACATCATATCTGGACATTTTCCATGTCTCTACAAAGCCCCTAAATCCTCATTTTCAATCATTGTAATCATTTTCAAATCAGCATAATTTACTTACCCCTTTCCGGTTTAACATTTAAATTTCCCACTTCATGAGTGCAGGGAAGAGTCCTGCGCATACAGATTTTTGCCTCTGCAGAATTATTTCCTCAGGGGGTTATCCCTATTTTTCTTGACTAAACTCCCTGGCAATGCGATAACATGAAGAAAACCAGTGACTAGAACTCAGAAGCCCTGGCTTCCAGTGTGAGCTCTGTAACTAAATTGTTTGATCTTTCTTGGCCTCCGTACTCCCATCTGTCAAATGGGGGGGGGGAGGGTGTTGGCTTAAAACTCTGGGGATCCTGAGCCTGGCTAGATTTTATCTTCTTGTTCCTTATGTTTATGCCAAAAGAGAGGAGACCTCCCTAAAGGCAAGAACTCTTTAATCGGATTTCTTCTCCCGTTTAATTGTTTTATTTATTGACTTTTGGTCTAGCCATATACAGAAATAGAAATGATCCCTCTCTACCCCCTCCCCCCAAGGCAGGATCACTTTCATTTGCATTTTTGCAAATGCATCATTGCATTCGTTTACATTGTAATCTGCATCGGATTTATGCTTTTTCAGATGGAGTTCTGGCTCTTTGATAAGTACCTGTTTCTTTTGGCTTTTGTCAGGCCTTTCCAAGTTTGAACTGTCTGTTTACTTGATAATTTAAAAGCATCTTAAGATGCATCTTTTCATCAGGGACCTGGGTCCGGATGAATTCTTGAGCTAGTTCATTGTATCATGCACTGGCCTTTTAAAATGCTTTTATTTTTTGTAATATTTATTATTGCAAATTGAAGTTGAGTTTTTAGTGAAAAAAATCAATACATATGTAGCTGATTGTACGGAAAATGGGGCAAAAGGATACGATAAAGCCATTTAAGTCAGTTCTAAGTGGGAAAAGCCCCCATCCTCGTGAGTGCTTAAGTGACAGAGGACCAGCAGAACCATCTCACTTCATGGGTGGGTATGGTATTTGCATATACATAGTGATAGTCTAAAATCTACTAGATCTTGCTTCTACAACTTAGTCCCACAGCTTTTGCCTCTACTTTCTGTGAAGATGGGGATAGTTGATCATGCCTTTGATGTCTAAAGAGTGGTTAAGCTCCTCTCTGGTAGGGTGTTCATTCATTAAACTGGGAAGACCTGTTTCTTGCCTCCCTTTTTCAGTGATAGCCCAGGGCACACTGTACACAATTCCTATTTTCCTCTGGGGTTTTCTGGTCCTTACACCAATTTGC